GCCCCCCCCCCCCCAACTGTGGGTTAAAGGAGGACAGACGGCATTCCTGGGACCTGCTGTAAGTGGCATGAGCATCCTTGGTTTACTGACAGTAGAGAGAGTGACACCCCACTTTACAGTGAAGAACACTGAGGCCCAGTTGCTACAAGAAGGCAGTGTGGTCTCCTGCTCTCTCGATGCAGTCCTGGGTGTGTGTGCCCCCGGACAGTAACGATGCTGCCATCTTGCACTGGTGCTCACGGTGAGCTGGCACCAGGCCCTGTGCTTCCTGTACTGACGCACTGCGACCTCACCCAGGTCTGTCTGTGACCAGCCTCCCTGGAGGAGGGAAGTCCAGAGACTTGCAAACCTGAGGAATGAAAGAGGTTGGCGTGGGACAGGAGAGCATCTTGTTAACCAGAAATGTTGACTCCTAGTATTAGATGCTCACAGTGCCAGACTTTCCAGGGCCACGGCCAGGGCTGGTGGAGGACCTGAGGATCTGGGTGATGAGCCCAGATGAGTCCCTGCTGAGGACTCCCAAGGCCCAGGGCCTCCACCACCAGGCCTGGGTAGGCCAAGCCCCCTGTGCTCAGCTGCCCTGTGGCCTGTCTGCCCGTATGGCCCTCTCTGGCCTGCTTAAGAGCATCAGAATGAATGTATGTGCATGTACACGCGCACCCCGTGGCCTCACCCAGTGCCCTCAGCTCCATGGTGATGTCCACGTAGCCGTGCTCTGCGCTGTAGTACATGGCCTCCTGCAGAGCCTTCGTGCGGGTCCGGCTCAGCCGCACAGGCCCCTCGCTGCCGCTGCCCTGGCTGGACGTGTCGCTTTCCTCCACTCCCTCGGCCAGGATCTCCTCCAGGGACAGCACGTCTGCTTTGGCCTGCTGTGGCTGCGTCAGGAGCTTCCTCAAGACATTCCTGTGGGCCAGGGACAAAGGAGGGTGATGCCTGAGGTCCCCACCATGGATGGTGTCCTCTGAGCTGTCTTGTGTGCCCCATGACCCAGATGGCTGGCTCTGGGTCATCTGCAGGCAGAAGTGCTCATGACCTTCCCACCCAGGCAAGCTGGGCTAGGGGCTTGGGTGAGGCCAGGGAGGGTGCTGGGGACTCTTCCCTCCTGCCATCCTGGTACTGCTGAGAAGTCACGGGCTCGGGGGCCAGGCAGGCTCTGCTGTCCTGACTGTGTGATCTCAAACAGGTTGTTCCACCTCTCTGAGCCCTGACTGCTTGTCCAGAGAACAAGATGTCAATCACCCTCTCCAGGAATTAACGTGGGGCCAGTGTGACGGCCTCAAATGCAGAGCCTGACCCACAGCGGTCCTCTGAGCCAGCGTCCAGCCTTTAATGTAAAACGTCTGCAGCATAGCCGTGCTTACACTGACTTCCTTCAATAAGAACGTGAAAACGAATGTCACACAGAACTCATTCGTATAGACGAATGTGTATGGTGTTACACTTGATGGAGCATGTTCCCATGTACTGTGGCAGTTAACCCTGTGAGGTCCCATGAACACTGCCACTTACAGGTAACAAATACAACCTAAGGTCACACTGGGCAGGAGTGGAGACCCAAGACTCTGGCTCCAAGCCCCAGGCTCGTGACATTCTGTGGCTCAAGGCTCGGGTGGCTGCAGCATGGGCAATGGCCCAAAGGTCACCTGGGGGCTGAACCTCCTCCCAGTGGCCCTGCCCGGCCCTCTTCTCACACCCCCCCTCCCCACTCTGATGGAGGCCAGGCTGTGCCAGGCAGCCAAGCTCATGGCCCAGAGACCTCTTGAAGGACCAGAGTCACTCCAGAGAGAGCCGGAAGCAGGTGAGCAGATAGGCAATCTCCACGCAGGGTGAAGAGACCACCGTGGGGGGAAATACGGGCACGGGTGGTGTGGAGAGGCCATGATGTGCAAGAGGGTAGCTGAGGGCGAGGCTGGTTTAGGTGGGTGAGTGTGGGAGCAGCAGCAGGTGTAGAGGAAAAGCATCGTGGGGCAGGGACCACAGCAAGGGCACAGCCTGGCTTTGAGAACAGTGTTTGGAATGAGAAGTAGGTGTCCACCTGCCCTTCGCTGCCTTCTAATAATCTCTGTCTCCCTCTGCTCCCCCAGAGCTGCCTAATGGCTCTGCTCTCTAAGCCTGCTGCTGCCCGTCACACCCCTGGGCAGGCTTGGCCCCCAC